TGCCTGTGTCCACTCACTATGACACAAATACATTTGGTGCACATGTCATGGGCCAGTGGTCAGAGTATGATAAACATTTCTGCTCCTCAATTGTAATGCTAGCAATATTGTGTTACTTAGCTTGTGTGTTAGCAAGCAAAAGTGGTTAGAAATGAGCAAACAAAAACAAGGCTTTTGAAATAAGAAAGCCAACAAACCTCAGCAGAGAAGAATATGCAGAGAGCACCAAGTCTGCTAACGCTACTGCCGCTAGCATTAACGTTACAATGACAGAGGCTAGCAGCTTTGCAAAGCGATGAGCTCTGGGAGGAATCTATTGCTGCAGCTACCCTCATCAATGACTGCTGTGCAAGCTCAGAATACTTCGATGTCTTGTCTCAGGAGCAAAAATCCTCGGTATGTGGTACCTCAGCATCTCAGGATGACATTGGCAGTGTGAAAAGGTAGGAATACTACTTAATTTTCTCATCTGGCCCTTTTATTGTTTATTATAGCAGCTTGGTTTGGGCTTCAAGTTACATATTGTTATTGTGTATTTTTTATACCTCAGTGGTGATGTTGCTGTGATGCTGCTGCAAAATGAGGAGATCTGTTGTCTGCTAAACGACTGTAAGTTTCTCTGAGCTATATTCAGTGTTTACTATAGTATTCTATTATTTTGCTGGCTGTTGTCGTCAGGTCTGTTGGCTTGTCTTTGAAATGCATGTGGTAGGCTAATCAGAGTTTTATGGTGGTGTTGCGTCGGTAACGTTAGTGTTAATCTCTTGCTCACTCACCGAGTAGACTGCGTATGTCAATGTGTGGGAAACTACATGTTAAAGGTACCCTACAAGTGGGCGGGTGGTTCCTGTGCCTACTATGAAATATAATCCTGCTGGTGCCACTGCTCTGTATTAACTATTTCCTGACAAGCAACGTCATGTGGTTGTATCGTTGAATCTTGACTGCCAGCTCTTGGTGGCAGCAGGAGAAGCAGTATGTTGTAGTTGCAGCAGATGTAATAGTGATCAATCTGGGGGGAAGGTTGGCCATACAAAATGATTTTGACACAGGAGAGCACTGTTTGCTTCCTGTTTCCTCCCAACAGTGAATGTCTGTTTCTATGAACCATAATCATTCCCTAATCTTAAACTCCCTGTTCAGGCACAACTGCGTAGCCATCCACAGCTTCAACACCATCAAGTTTGCTGACTGCACGACAGTAATCGGCTGGATCACGGACAATGACAATACAAAAAAATGGTCAGAGCCCTGATGTCTTGACGCTATGACCACAACCTCAATCTCAAAGTCAGCAAAACCCAGGCCCAGACACACCAAGTTGCACATGAACACCCCGCAAAGACTACAGCCAATGGCCAACCAGTGCATACGTTCTGTGTCTGCATGAGGAGATAACTCTGTGCACCAGCAGGTGGTGATGAAATTGTCATTCAAAAAGAAAAAAAATAAAGCTGAAAGGGGACAGTGTGGGGCAACGGTGTGGGAAACACTGCCTACTAGGGCGAAAGACACTCACCGACGGCCCAAGATTGGCTGAAGGCTGACCATTAGCTTGGTGCACCAGGGCCTTAAGGAGCTGCTTTTGGAATACAGGAAACAACAGGGAGAAGGACAAGCCCCGATCTTCATCAATGGGACTACAGTGGTGAGGGTCAGCAGCTGCACGTTCTTGCGGTTTACGTCAGTAAGGTCTGGTCTCAGCACACCGACACCATCACAGAGACAGCACGACAATGGCTCTTCTTGCTCCAGAGGCTGAGGAGGTTCAATATAGACTTAAGAATATTCTGCAACTTCTACAGGCACATCAAGACTATCCCCACCGACTGCATCACCGCCTGGTACGATCACTATGGCACTTTACCTTTAAACCATCACCTTACCCTTATACTGGGTTCACACTGGATGCCAAAGTGCCACAATTTTCTGTGGAGTGCTGCCCACTTCCTTTTGCCCACGGCGGCAGAACTGAGCTCCATGGCTGGCTCGCCATCTCCAGCTATACTTTCAGCGTCTGGTCTATTTTTACCTGAGAGCAAATCTGGCAAAGAAACGCACTGATGATCTACTGTAAACAATATAAAAGATATATAAATGATCTATTGATGATAAATGATAAAATATGCAAGCCATGCATGGCTGGAAATCAACTTTTTTGTCCACCCACCACTGGCTGGTGGATTCCAAAGTCTACAAGCCCCTCACTAGATTACCATTGTTTTGGGGTTTTTTTCGCTGGTGGGTGAAGCAAAAACCAGAGGCCACTGAAAAGCTCCCAGTGTGGTGTGACACAGTGTGGTGGTAGACGGAAAAAAAAGGCTGGAAGGTAGCCCAACTGCACCCTGTGGACATTTCCCCTTTCCTCCCTCACAGACAAGATGGTGGCGAAGGTAATAAAAATGGAGATTTATTCATATCATGCCTTACTTTAATGGATTATATCATATCGGGTATAGACGTATAGACTTAATCTGCAGATGCTCCACTCCAAAATGAGGCCAAACTTATCCAGGGATGTCAGTTTCTAAGGCACAGTGAAGGCCAAAATGTCGCCTGCAGCAGACAGTAATGCTTGTTATTTCTATCTGAGCTGAATTCTGGAAAACTTACGAGGAGTCAAATAAAATACCGTATATAACGGTACAAAACAGCCAATAAAACACGCATTTCAGCAATTATGAATCACCGCAACCCAGAGAAGTCCTTTAGCATACAGTCATAAATGTGTATACAAACTAGGAGTTTGCAAGATTATCTACAGACAGTCTCTCTCTCTCTCTCTCTCTCTCTCTCTCTCTCTCTCTCTCTCTCTCTCTCTCTCTCTCTCTCTCTCTCTCTCTCTCTCTCGTCGTCCTGACGTTAGGGGACTTGATGAAAATATGAGTCATTTTTTGAAGGTAGTATGAACTGGCCTCTTTTGTGGTTTAGGAATGAGAAATCAATTGACACACCTGAGTTTGACTAAACCATACAAAACAGATTTGGTGTGAAAGCCACTGTGGCTATTGTAGAAATTATAGTGGCTTTTGCAGTAGAGAAAGAAGTTCACTAACACCACAAGACCACAGTGTGAAAATATTCTCTTACAAGTAAAATCCCTGCATTCAAAACTGCACTTAGGTCAAAGAAAATGCAGAATTGCCCATTTTGGAAAATATGCTTCACATTATATCCTTAAAATATAACTTTTGATGCATTTATGTGTATTTATTTTCATCGTATATCCTTGATGGCCGTTTTTCTGTGTGTCAGATTTAAAATACTCTATGTGTTTAATAGTTTTAAACCATAGAGACCATAGACAGTAGAGAATAGTTGTTTTCATATGTTTAACAATCACCAAAGATAAAATGGTGGTAAATTAGCAATTGGAGTCAACCAGTACATTCCAATATTTTCTTAAATGTTTCTAAAAACTCTTGAAATATAGTTATATTTCCAGTACCATGAATCCTCATAAAATGTACTCACATATTTGTTAAATCTACACCAAACAGTTATCTCAACTATGATTCATGGAATCATCTTACCTTGACTATTAAAAGTTTTACATTTCTTATGTTTAAACTGAACATTTCTTTAACTTCATACTCTACATACAATCTATTGAAAGACTTGAGACTGTAGCTCTATACACTATAACTTGATTCTTTAATCCTGTTTGTTAGTTATTCATCCAAGAATGTTCTCATTTTGCTTTTTGTAACAGAGGAAGCTTTAATATAAAATTTCCACTTAATAGCTTAAAGTTTTTACTCACATTTAACACTGACCTTGCCAAAAAAAAAAAAAAAAACATCAGTAGGCCTATCATAGATCCATTACATCAACATTGATCTAAACTATAAGATAAAACAGAAATAAAATAAAAGTCAAAAGCTATAAAGATCTGGTCTACATGTGCTGTAAGAGAAAACATTTGCCACATAACATGCTGCTATTATCTCCCACATGGAAGACAATTCAAGGATTAAACAAACATCAGTTAGGACCTTTGTGTTCATTTACCGTAGCAATCTGCAGGCACCTCATCATAATCCTAATCACAATGCATCAGCATTTTTGATCACTGTATTATTGTCCTCAACGTGTGACTACTTTCTACTTTGCTAAAACACAGCATACTCTATTGGATGTGAACCATAATTAAACAGATTAATTTGCTTGCATACAGTCTGGTTCTTTTCCAGGTTTCTCTTCCATTCAACTTAATAGAAGCCAAAATGCTTCCATACCCTGGCTTTTATAACAGAGAGTGACATTCAGATTGTATCCACACTATTTATGCTGGCTTAGTGTCCACTGTTTACAAACTGTAATATTTCACCAGAAATATGAAATTACTATGTTGTATTGAATGGGAAATAGTCTGCAGCCTTTTTATTTTAAAAAGTTAACTGCATTAAGTAATTAATTAATTGATTAAAGAATTAATTAATATGAAAACACCTTACAGTCTCCTGTCTGTATGAGAGTAACAAAATAAGGGGACAGTGGCTTGCTCCCATGTGTTGTTTTAACATCTCCAGCGGCAGAGAGAAGCCTCTCCGCTGCACATTAGCTCCAGGAAAAGCCAAGATGCTGAAGGGGCCGGGCGGAGGAGTTTTATATGTGCAATGCTGCAGCATGTGTTGGTCAGCAAGTCTTGTTTGTTTACATGCTGATCGCTGCTCTGCTCCATTACCGCTCTGTGTGATGATTTAGAAAGAATTCACAATATACTTCACGTTTGCCTCGCAAATATAATTATTTAGACATTAAACAAACTTGCAACCACTGCCTTCTGTGAAGGTTAATTGCACATTAACTCTAGCGTGTCTGCATTGTAGACTGTCTGGCTCCTGCACTGCTCTTGTGGTAGAGCTCTGCCTCTTTCATTCCATTAACATTACGTTATTAATAAACATTTAGATAATCAATTGAAATTTGTAAATTGATGCCGAGTTGTCCACATCTGCATTGTGATGCATCTGAGAATCGACTATTTTCTCCCACCCCTAGTGTACGTGTCGCTGTTCCTTTTTTAAGACCCTGACATCAGTGTAGATGCTCTCTTCCTCGACTGCAGTGGCATCTTTCTGTTTACTCCTGCCACTCGGATTCACTCTGGTGAAATTTGCCACCGAATAAACCAATGAGTCTTCATCTGTCTGTAGAAATAGAAGGCAAAGCATTATCAGCTGGGAGCTGTCAACAGAAATGTACAAATTATAAAAAACAGAATCTTTAAAATGACTTACCTGCTGACTTTGTTGATCATCTGTGGTTGTTGCAGCATTTGTTTGCAGGACAGGAGCAGCTGGATTATAACAGGACAAACCATGAATAACATGCAGCATGTAAGGATTCACAGGATTTCATTTTATTTTGAAAATGAATGATAGAATGAAGTGAGTTTTATTACCATTACAACAATCGCACTTCTTTGACTTGATGGTGTAAATCAGAAAGGCTATAACAAACAAACTTATAGCCAAAGCAGCACACGACAGACACAGAACTGTTTTGACTGTGTGACAATCACCAGGCGACATGTTGGAGGCTGAAATATTAAGAACAAAAACAAATCGCAAAGTTAACAAGGGTTAAAAGTGTGGCATTAAAGGCTCTCGAAGTCTTCCTAAGCTTGAAAAGTTTTTGTCACACACAGCAAACATCTCCTCACGATCCGCTAGCTACATGTCCTCTGAATATGCTGTGAAAAAGTCTGGTCTCTGTAGGCAGCCCAGGCTCCACAAATGGCAACAAAAACATTTTGGTCCAGGCAGTGCGAAACCAGCAAAAGCAAGCACACACACATGAACGCGGTGCCCATGTCTCACGGTCTCGTGCAAGCGCGCACATGTGAACGTGGTGCCCAGAGAGGCAGTTAGAGCTACCGGCTACAATGAGGCTAAAAATAGAGTTCAAACGATGTTTTTCCAAACAACTTTTTATGTCGGGGCTTCAGGACACTTGGATCACTATGTACGAGCAGTGTGGAGATTTTTTGTGGTTTCAATTATGTGTTTTTGGACGTTTGAATCTGGGGCACCATAAGCCTAAGTTTTGTTGCTACCTCCTCTCCCTTTAGATCTCTTACAGTGTTGTGAGGACTCTAAAACTTCACTTGCCTTTAATCTTTAATGCTTCCTCTTGGTAAGATTGTACGTATCATATATTGACTTTTAATAGATTAAATATGCAAAATGGTTGTTACCTTGAATGTCCAGTTTTGTACCATTTCCAAATAATATCTCTCCACATGTGGCCACAGCACAGTAATAAGTCCCAGCATCAGAGGAGCTGATGTTCTTAGAGAAGCTGTAGACACATTTCTGTGGAGATCCACCGTCAGGACTCTTCTCACACTCAACACTGTTTCCATGAGTGTAAAAGACGTTGGGATGAGATTCATGAGATCCAGCTTTGAACCAGAACACACTGTGATCTCCTGGACATGATTTGTTATATGAGTCAGAGAGGACTGAACACTGCAGAGTCACTGAGTCTCCTGGATGGACTGGATCAGATGGTAGGTCTTGAGTGACGGCACTGATATCAGGTTCTGGTCCTGGGAAATGACAATATTTTCGTATTTCGTAGAATGTGTGTTAAGTAGTCAACTGCTTATTCAAGATAATTGTTCCAAACTGAAGTTGGAAAGTGAATGTAGTGTATACTGCTTCACTTACCTCTGACTCTCAGTAAGGTTTTATTCAGAAATGTCGTCTTTAGTTCAACCACTTGTTGGCAGTAGTAACATGCAGCATCACTCAGCTCTGTTTGGGTAATATGTAGAACAAATACTCCAGGCTCCTGTTTGGTTGTAATGCGAGGGGTCTTATTAACAACTGCACTATCAAAAGTATAAGTTGCTCCTAAGATTTCAGGGAAGTTTCCAGGTACAACTCTCATCCAAAGTAAGACACCTGCTAATCCAGACTGGCGGCTACATGTCAGAGTCACATCTTCTCCAACACAAACAGTCTTTGTCACAAAGCCTTGGTCCTCTGAGCATCCTGACGAACAAATTCAATATGATATATTTACCATAAGACGGTGCCAATAACTGAAACATAACAGAAGTGAAACTGAATTTTTTTATGCATACTTACGCCCGATTGTGAGCACGAGAGCTGCACAAAATATGATCAGCATTTTAAGGCAAATCCACTTCAGACAGCTGTTCATTGAGGTCGAACTGCAGGATGATTAATGTTAATGTGACTCATTTGGCAGGAAACAGTGAAATGGGAGGGAGAAGTTCCAAAACAATCTGATAGGTCTGTCATGTTGGTTTGCAGCGTACCACCACAGTGAAAATGTTCTAAACCAATGTCTAGGTACATGACAACCCCAGCAGTGTGGTTTTGACATTGTGTGTCATGAAAACACATGAATCATGGCTATAATTAGCAAACACAGATGTGTGGTATGAAAAAAACAAAAGCAAAGTTTTAATCCTCTCGCTAGAAGATAACTTTAACCTGAATAGCCATTCATTTTAAGTCAAGTTATTAGCAGAAGAACTTCTGCTGTTACTCTTTTCTGTGGTATAAATGTCCAGATAAATATCACCCCTAAAAACGTTATCAAAAACAATTAATAAATATGTTTCCATGTGGTGTCATGATGTGTGTGTTTTCATTTTTGGTTTTCTCAATGTTCCTAAACACTGTCAAAGTACACAGAGACCAAATAACCCACTGAAATCTGATATTACTGAGACTTCACACACTTCTGATGCACCTCAGAGCTTAACACAACACAACCAGCCTGTCATGTCAATTAATAAGTTTCATTTCAACACAAAAGGAAACTGAAACTGTGTCCTCCCTCAGAGTAGAAGGTAGGACAGACATTCTGAAACACAGAGAATGAGCTTTATATTAATTATGAGACAGGTTACATCATGAAGACTTGCCAATTTGTTGGTTGTGCACTGAAGGTCAAACAAGTTTAAAGTTTAGACTCAGAGCACAGTGGCAGGGTGAGAAATCCAAGCGGCCCACAATATTCAAGTTAGGCTGAAAATGTGTCAACGAGATCTGACTGGAACTGAAACACTGTAAATCTGTAGTTTTGAGTTAATGTGAGGGCGTTGCCATCTTCATAAAAATACTAACGGCCCCAAGGTTCAGAACAAAGTCTGAGCAGGTAAAGAAAGGCTCGCACACTGCAGCGCTCCTCTTCAGTGCAAAGTCTGGACAAGGGTCTTAGTCCCTTTAGTTGGGACTAAATGTAAAATATTTAATACTCATGGTGAACATACAGGCTGCACAGTTTAACTCACAGAGGGGTGGAGTCAGTAAAATACATATTACTTATATACTCCATTAAATCAACTTCTTCTGCTTTATTTAATCATTTCCTGAGTAAATTGGTTATCTGTACTTGTATGTACAACTCTGCATCTCTATATTGATTGATAGCTACTTTTTGGCCTTCTGACTTGTGAGAATATCTGTGTATTCTTCTGTCAATGCAATATTAACACACAAACATCCCTCCGTCTTTACTCTGCTGCCATCTTCTGGCAGATTCATTCACAATCTAAATGTTGACTACTTTAGTTTTTGATTTCTGGGAAGCCTTGGCTCAAGTGGGCTGTGAACATGCCTATCATTTCAGTACATTTATGCTCAAATAATGGGAGTTGGGGATTTCTTTTTATTTCATTTTATTTAAAAGGACAACACACATTAATCAACATTTCTGTAAATGTGCCAGTTAGCCAGCTGACTATTTTCAACTGCTGTTCTTTGACATGATGTTTTGAAACCAATAAAAGGATAACATTCATTCATTCATTTTCCATAACCGCTTATTCTGTTTTTCTGGCTTCAAGAAATCCTCTTGCTGTGAGGCAACAATGCTAAACACCACACCACCGTGCCACCCAAAGGACAAAGACGGCATAAAGACATAAAGACAGCATTAACTACGGCAAACAGAAATTCTCAAGATAGAACATAAGCCCTGCAAGGCAACAAGCAACAGCAGAGCATCAGTACAATACAATAACACAACAACAAACAGCATGTCATATTAACTTGGGTGAGAGAGTCACACTGCAGCTATTCAACTATTTACACCCATCCCTTCAGTGCTTTATCATGGATCTCAATGAGTGCTGTGATTGGCTAGTAGTCATCACATTGACCCATCAAGGTTGGAGGCGTTTAGGGTTAGGGCAAGTAAGTCATGATTAGGACTAGTACTCGTCAAACTCTTATATTCTCTGAGTTCAAAGTGGTAAATTCACGAGGAAAAACAAATGTACTGCCAAAATGTCAGGTGACCTAGTGTAAGGATCAACTCAGTCCACAGAGGTAGTAAGACACGTTGGGGTCTGTCACAGGACTTTGTACAGGAGACTGGTGTTCGAGTCTCGTGTGAGTCAAAATTGGGTTATCATTTTTAGATTTTATTGACTTATTATTTTCAAATTTTAGGATATGTAAAGCTGCTGAATGTTAACTGTAAATAAACAAAGCAGCTGAATAAACCATTACTGATCATGTCATATTTTGACGTTGCAAGGGCACAAAGGAATATACAACTGCAGTGTAAATAGAATTGTTGGCTATGGAAACCTGGGTGCAAATAACATCTGCATTAAATATTTTGATTCTATTAGTGTTGTGAGATGCTGAAAAGTTTCTTTTTTTAGGGGACATTTAGTATGACAACATAATGAGAACCAACAGCTCAGTTTCCCTGTCAGTGTCTTAATATAGCAAACTGCACACTGTTGTGCTGTGGGTGCTGACCAATTCAGACTTAATTTAGTGACAGTTTTAGTCGAAGCTTGGATTGAGCACTACAAGTATCTGTCTTTCCATACCCCTGTTGACTCGGCAGTTCCTTTCTGGACACTGTGCTTTTACAGTGGTTCTGTGACTTCATATTGCTGCCACCTTTTGGCGGGAATCAGATGCTAAATTTAACAAATCCAAAATAAAGGCAGAAGGTTCATTTAGCCTCACGAATCAGTCGCAACTCGTCCATTGTAGAGTTTTCAAAGCAAGTGACAGGAGTAAATATAGGGCGACAAAAGTTTAGCTCAAAATGGCAGTGCTGCACGGCTCACAGCCAGCTGAAGCATTCCAATTTAAGCCAGTGCAATCAAACAGATTTGGATGCTGATGCCTGTTCCTAGTTAACATCGTTACCTCCTGTAACCTCATGTAACCTCCATGTTGATAGCCATGTTCAGGCAATCCTGGCGAAGCCTCTGAATCATCTCAATGTCCCATACAGCCACTTTCAAAAGAGTAACATCATCTTTCACATATGGTACTAAGTGATCTCAAACAGTCCAGTTAACCTGCTAATCCAACCCAAAAGCCTTGACAGCTGCGTAGATCCTCTCTCTCTCTCCGCTGCCTTTGCAGCCCTCGTTCCACCACTGTCAGTTTTCATCACGGAGAAGACGACAGCAGAATAAGCCCATGTGTCTTCACCTATCTGAGGAAATGTATCACAAATCATGTGAGATATGAGAGACACAAATACCAATAAAGAAGCATCATAACATTTTTGCTTAGTGGATCTTACCTTTAAATTCCTTTTTGCAAGATACTGCTGCAGGGAAACAGCAGCTATGATAAAAGAGAAAAAGTATTATGCACTTATTTACAACAGTTATGCTACAACACTAATGATGTTAACATTTGCTAAATAACGTGATATAATGAGGTAACTTCCATTACCTTCATTATTGCAATAACCACATTTGTTGTTCTTGATGACGTAAACGAGGACGGCTATAACAATCACACTTATAGCCAGGACAGCACACAGGAGGAGCAGAATTACTCTGTCCTCCAGTAAAACATCAGTAGACCCTGAGCTGGCTCCTGAAACATTCAGAAGGAACACACAATTACATTAAGTAAAAGTAAATTAATATGCATTTAATGAACATGTATTTGCTTGATCATTCTGGGTATTATTGGACTTCTGATCAAGACTATTTAATACTTAAATATCAAAATTTCCTTATTAAACTCCGATCAAACTGACAATGTACAGCAAACCATTGTTCAAACCTGAAGAACTTTTTATCCTTTCCTTCCTATCATTGAGACAGGAAGAAACCAAATATCTTCTAAAATGATGGGATCCATTTCAGAGAAATGTGGGTAAAATGAAGCCTTAGACATTTACAACATTTCCATTTCATGCAGCAACAAAAACATGTCTTAGGTTAGAACAAGCTGATAGAGATATACAATATATTATGTTGTCAAACAGTGTGGACTAAGAGGGTTTTTCCAACCCTGGAACCATTTAAGGGGCATAAAGAAAGAAAACTGGGTCAACAGAATGATGAGTTACCTTCAATATTCAGTTTTGTTCCATTTCCAAAAAATATCTCTCCACATGTGGCCACAGCACAGTAATAAGTCCCGGCATCAGAGGAGCTGACGTTCTTAGAGAAGCTGTAGACACATTTCTGTGGAGAGTGAGCTTCAGGACTCTTCTCACACTCAACACTGTTTCCATGAGCATAAAAGACCCTGGGATGAGATTCATGAGATCCGGCTTTGAACCAAAACACACTGTGATCTCCTGGACATGTTTTGTTATCAGAGTCAGAGAGGACTGAACACTGCAGAGTCACTGAGTCTACTGGACGGACTGGATCAGATGGTAGGTCTTGAGTGACGGCACTGATATCAGGTTCTGGTCCTGGGAAATGACACAATATTTTCGTAGAATGTTTGGTAAGTAGTCAACTGCTTATTCAAGGTAATTGTTCCAAACAGAAGTTGGAAACTGAATGTTTGCTATCAGCAAAGTGTATAATGCTTCACTTACCTCTGACTCTCAGTAAGGTTTTATTCAGAAATGCCATCTTTAGTTCAACCACTTGTTGGCAGTAGTAAAATGCAGCATCACTCAGTTCTGTTTGGGTAATATGTAGAACAAATAATCCAGGCTCCTGTTTGGTTGTAATGAGAGGAGCCTTATTAACAATGGCAGAATCAAAAGTATAAGTTGCTCCTAAGATTTCAGGGAAGTTTCCAGCAACAACTCTCATCCAAAGTAAGACACCTGCTAATCCAGACTGGCGGCTACATGTCAGAGTCACATCCTCTCCAACACAAACAGTTTTTGTCACAAAGCCTTGGTCCTCTGTGCATCCTGACGAACAAGTTGAATACGACACATTTACCATAAGACGGTGCCAATAACTGAAACATAACAGAAGTGAAACTGAATTTTTTTATGCATACTTACGCCCGATTGTGAACACGAGAGCTGTACAAAATATGATCAGCATTTTAAGGCAAATCCACTTCAGACAGCTGTTCATTGAGGTCGAACTGCAGGAAGATTAATGTTAATGTGACTCATTTGGCAGGAAACAGTGAAATGGGAGGGAGAAGTTCCAAAACAATCTGATAGGTCTGTCATGTTGGTTTGCAGCGTACCACCACAGTGAAAATGTTCTAAACCAATGTCTAGGTACATGACAACCCCAGCAGTGTGGTTTTGACATTGTGTGTCATGAAAACACATGAATCATGGCTATAATTAGCAAACACAGATGTGTGGTATGAAAAAAACAAAAGCAATGTTTTAATCCTCTCGCTAGAAGATAACTTTAACCTGAATAGCCATTCATTTTAAGTCAAATTATTAGCAGAGGAACTTCTGCTGTTACTCTTTTCTGTGGTATAAATGTCCAGATAAATATCACCCGTAAAAATGTTATCAAAACAATTAATAAATATGTTTCCATGTGGTGTCATGATGTGTGTGTGTTGTCATTTTTGGTTTTCTCAATGTTCCTAAACACTGTCAAAGTACACAGAGACCAAATAACCCACTGAAATCTGATATTACTGAGACTTCACACTTCTGATGCACCTCAGAGCTTAACACAACACAACCAGCCTGTCATGTCAATTAATAAGTTTCATTTCAACACAAAAGAAAACTGAAACTGTGTCCTCCCTCAGAGTAGAAGGTAGGACAGACATTCTGAAACACAGAGAATGAGCTTTTTATTTATCATGAGTCAGGTTACATCATGAAGTTAGGTTGAAAATGTGTTGACAAGATCTGACTGGAACTGAAACATTGTAAATCTGTAGTTTTGAGTTAGTGTGAGGGAGTTGCCATCTTCATAAAAATACTAACTGCCCCAAGGTTCAGAACAAAGTCTGGACAAGAGACCTATTCCCTTTAGTTGGGACTAAATGTAAAATATTTAATACTCATGGTGAACATACAGGCTGCACAGTTTAACTCACAGAGGGCCAGCAACAGTGAAATACATATTAATTATGTACTTTATTAAATTAACTTCTGCTTTATTCAATAATTTACAAAGTAAACTGATTTTTGTAGTTGCAGAGTAGCATCACATTTGTATGTACTGCTAAGCATCTCCATATTGACTTTGGTAGTTACTTTTTGGCCTCAGTATCCTTGACTTCAATATCTGTGTATCCTCTTTGTCAATGCAATATTAACACACAAACAACCCCCTCCTTCTTTATTCTGCTGCCATCTTCTGGCAGATTCATTCACACGTATAAAAATGTCTGTTGACTGCTTCAGTTTTTGATTTTGTGGAGGCCTTGGACCCAGTGGGCTGTAAACGTTCGTGTAATTTCAATATCATTAGACATTTATGCTTAGATAATGGGGCTTGGATTGAACACTACAAGTATTTGTCTTTCCATACCCCTGTTGACTCTGGTAGTTCCTTTCTGGACGTTGTGCTTTTACAGTGGTTCTGTGACTTCATATTGCTGCCACCTTTTGCTGGGAATCAGATGCTAAATTTAACAAACAGAGAATGAAGGCAGAAAGTTTATTCAGCTCATTTAAATGTTTGTTGATCATGCTTGACTTTCAATTACGGGGAAGTCATGAACCCAGTGGACTGTAAGCATTTCTCTAATGTCACATAACAAAATAATGATGCACTTTGGTGTTTACAGGTGAACCAGGCCCACTTTCAAAATTAATACATGTTATTCCTAATGGTTTAAGGCAGTCAAAAATATTAGCAAGCATGAACAACTCTCTCCAAAAAGTGCTAACTAAAAAACTAAAACTTAAACTTATGACGTCATAGTGTAAAGTCTGCAGCTGCTACAGGGATGGACCATCTCTGGAGTTGCGCCAGCAGCACACCCAACCACCTCCAAGCAGGTAGCAGTGCATCTAGCCAACCATGGCCAACACCTGACGACCTCCCTTTCCCCCCTCAAATAAGTGTGTTACAAGAATCAACTCATATCTTCGCAGTAGACCAAAGACGAAGACATTTTTAAAAGTCTTTGTGTGTGTGTTAAGTTCAACACTTTAGCTCCTAACTGAATCTCTGTGGCTTCAACTTTAGTTTCTCTCCTGCCGTTTGTACTTTCAGATATCTGCTTCATGTTCATTTTCAGCTGTATAGGAGTCATGATGAGTTACTGCTGGTGAAAACTCAACATTTTCTGTTTATAAGAAATAGGCAGGGACCTTCAGCTGTGAATTGGCTGCTGCTTTTAAACATCATCATTACAGGACAAGCCATCATCCAAAAACTTACTCCATAAGTCTACTTTATCTCAGGCTTCCCTCGCAAGATTTGTATATGAGAAAGAGATTAAACAGTCACATCAAAAAGACTCTGTATTGTGTGCCACGTGTCATGCAGGTGCATTTTACATGCAGAAGATAAAGGGAGCTAATTTCCATTTTTAAAACCACAATGCATGTGGATCTTATTGGTCATTACTGACTGAACGTCTCTGGTAAAGAGACTGGCCTTTACAGCCACTACTACAAAAAAGAATTAGCAGTGGCTTCTAGAAAAAGGTCAATGACCAATATAAACATTATTATTGATCTTGTTTCCAATGTTTATCAAACCTTACTGTCAATTATTACACATGACTATAAAAAAGACAAACAACTGTAAGCTGTCAAATGTATTTTATTTAACAGGAAACAAAGGCACACAGCAGCTGTTTGAATCAGTTTTCAAAGTGTACTATGTCTCCGTCAAAGTGCACAGGAAAGCCTTGCTCACATCTGATTGCAATTCTCCTGGTTCGTGCTTGACCGTTGTACTGACAGTGGGGGCGCCTGGCCCCTTGGTTTCTCAGTGTACAGACAACAATGTCGAAGGGTGGGCGGTTTCTGGTCATGACACCATATGGCTCTCCTGCTTCACCACAAATGGCATTGACATGATTAGTGGTCGAACAGATGAAGGTATTGGTCTCCTTACACAGATTGCTGTTGGTTTGGGTAATGCCTCTACTTGGTATCACCTGGTCACACCTGGTAATACTCATCTATGAACTTCCTGTAACGTGGAGCAACGCTTGCATCCTGAGACAGCGCAGTGGCAGAAAGCAGCAGCAGACAGGCAAACTAGAACTGGAAAATGAATGATAGAATGAAGTGAGTTTTATTACCATTACAAAATTTGCACTTCTTTGTCTTGATGGTGTAAATCAGTAAGGCTATAACAAACAAACTTATAGCCAAAGCAGCACACGACAGACACAGAACTTTTCTGACTGTATGACAATCACCAGGCAACATGTTGGAGGCTGAAATATTAACCCTATGGGCCCTGGGCGTTTTTGGGGTATTTTTACTGCCTTTACTTCTAAGCTCATATCACAGTCATTATAAAGGCTACATACACATGCTATATCTTGTTTTTTTCAGGACAATCTGGGCTAACCAGATTTGCCATCATTACATGTCCTTCTATGTGCCTGTATTTTATATTAATTTTTATATCAATGAAAAAAAACAAATCTGTGTGACTAAATTCTTACATTTTTACATGTATCTCTGCATAGCAAGTTGGAAAATGACATATTCTGCCATATATGAAGAGGGGAGACTCTCTGGAATCTGGCAATATAAGAACCATGATGGTGGGACATTCTGTCACTTCACAGCTGTCCAAAACATGTGGTTTGTGCCAGGCGGACATAATTGCCAGTATTTTTTCATTATTGCAAGAAATTCCATTGA